TCTTTGTATATGCACATCACTGAGAAATACCCTAATGTAATAAAAAAAAGAAAAAAGAAAAAAAATTCCTTTTTTTTCTTCCTTTTTTTTTCCTTTCTATATTTTCTGTAAATTTCCTTCTACATGGAGGAAGCTCCCCCCTTCTTGCTCAAAAATGATGATCCTTTTAAATTATACTCTTTGGAAAAAAAATAAACCAGTGGCTAGCTAACATCGCTTAGACGGTGTAATTTCTGAGTGTGGGATTTACAAAAGGGTTCCTTTTTTTGGTTTTCTTTTGTTTTATTTTCTTCTGTTTCATTCTTTTTTTTTTACGTGACATTTATTCCAGTTTTCCTTGCCCTTGTCAAATAAATGCCATTATAAAAGAAAAAAAATTCTTCGAAAAAAATGGCGAAGTTTTTTTTTTTTACTTCTCTTCTCCTCGTTTAACACTTCACATTTCGCGTTATTTAAGGATAAAACTGGGTTATAATGATAAAACCGTCTTTTTTGAAGATTTACAAAGTGACATCTATCCACAAGGAGATCTCCTGGCCATTCGATGTTGTTGTATATTTATAACTGCTGAAGGTAGTGATGCGTGTTTTACACATAACTTCTTCCTGCGAAGTCACGTCAGGAAGGTTTTTTTGACCATTGGAAAAAAAAAAAACGAACAATAAAATGAAACAAACATAAGGTACAGAACGGATGGAATGGCAATTTTACCAGTGCGCGAAGTTTTAGGCAGGAATTATTAAGACTGCTTGTCCATTTTCTTCTTTTCCCTGTCTCACTATCTACATATAAAGACACGCGTGATTTTATCCCCAATTGTCCAAGGTGCATGTAACTGGGAGGATGGCGGAAGCAGTGATCGACGGAAGCAACAACTGCACACTGTGGTGCTCCACATTTATTCGCAGCAAAGCGCAAAAGGGAGAAAAGACATAAAAAATGGCGTAAAAAAATATCGCTAAAAGAATAGCGTAAAAAGACCGCTAAAAGAATGGCGTAAAAAGACCGCTAAAATAATGGCGTAAAAACACACCGTTAAAAAAATGGCGTAAAAACAGACAGTTAAAAAAATGGCGTAAAAACACACCGTTAAAAGAATGACCTAAAGAAACTACTAAAACAATGGCGTAAAAAGATGGTTAAAAGAATGATGTTAAAAAAATGGCGTTAAAATAATGGCGTTAAAATAATGGCATTAAAAAAATGGCGTTAAAAAAAGAACGTCAAAAAAAGAGCGCTAACACAGCGCTAACGCAACGCTAAAAAGGGAACAGTCTAAACGGCCATTTACCGATTCAAAAAATCATTAACCAAAAGGAACAATGGAACAATAGAGTGAACAGCGGAGTGAACAGACGGCACCAACGTTGTCAAATGGAAAAAAATAATTCCAAACCACTGAGACTTCGAAAAATTTGTCACTATCACAGGTGAAAGGTGTAAAAGGGTAAAACGGAAAAAGAAAATCGCAAAAAAGAGGAGAAAAGAAGGAAATTTTCCTCTACACTGTTGGAACAATATGGCAGTTCAGCCGCGTCGCGAAAGACATGGAGAGTCCCACTGTTTTTACTCGTACACATACGTTTAACCCAACCTCGCCGTGAAAAGCGCTTCTCCACGCAGTGGTATGTGCAAGTTCGTACTGTATAACCACAGGTAGAGCGTTATCGCAGTTTGGCATGCTATATATTCACATTGTCGCTTCGTTACTAGGCCGTTTCGCCGCACAGTCGTTTCGCCGCACAATCGTTTGGCCACTTCGCCGCTCTGCCGCGTCGCGTTTATACCTGCGCTGGGCGTGTAAAAGGTGTGTATAGATAATCAGGAAACCCGTACATGGCGTGCCGCGCCTCATTCCAGAGGCCACGTGACCGGGACGTGTAACTCTGATTTCGCAACGGTGGGGAAAGAAAAAATACACATATGTGTATATAAGTACGTACATATATATATCTATATATACATATATATATATATGTATATATGTACTTATTTCCACGTGGATTCATACTGGAAGTTCTCGCGGGGAGGGACGCCTTTTGCAAATCATCGAGCGCGATTAGGCAATTGCACCGTGGCGTGAAATTTTTTTCGACTGAAAAAAATTGCGCATCAGTGTTCTATAAGTAAAAAGAGCACAAACGGATGATGTACCATATGGTTGAAAATCGCGCGGAGGTGTAGCGATGTAGGAGGAACCAAATACCGCACGGGAAGTCACAAAAAGTTTCTGAAGGGCTGCCGAAAGGTTGGCCAAGGGTTACCGAAAAATCTCAAAAAATTGGAAAGAAGAAAAAGTATAGAACTGTATATGGAATTATTTTCACAATTGCGCCCCTGCCCTCTGTGATTTTCCTGGCCCTACGTCACTCCTCCTTTCTTCTCACCCAGGAAACACAAAAATCGGTGAGTTAAGAAAAAGTTTTTTCCCCCATTGGAACGCACTGCGTGAAGGAAAGTGTGGGGTCTGTCATGAGTGTATAATCCGTCACCTGTGCAGGTATACATACAATCCGCTGTACTTTCGGAATACACTTAGTACGCCTCTGAACGAAGGACATTCGAGAACACACAAATAGCCTGAACCGTTTTTGTAAATCTGCTCGGGCAGACCCATGTGCATATGCACCCCCACAGCAACAAGCACCCTTAAACGCACATACGTACATGCGCATCCGGAAGAAGAACACATAGATACCCATTGTGAAACGCAAAAAAAAAAAAAAAAATATATATACTCTTTTAAAACATGGACCCCATTGGCGGAGGTACGTCTTCCCCCACTGTCATCCTTCGTTGCGCGTGCTTAGCCAACCAGGTGCCTTCTTCGCCATATAGTAATATGTGCCGTTTAATGGACACACGTGTTGTGTTACCACGCCGTCCCAAGATACCATTTTCTCTTTCATTTTTTTCGATTTTCCCCACACTACACCCCTCTGCAGACAACATTATAAGCATAAATGTCGGAGGGAAGATTTACATGACAACTCTCAACTTGATTTGCAGATACAGGGATTCTCGTCTATGTGAAATTGTTTTAGGTAGTTTTGGAAAATTTTTCCAAAAGGGAAGACATCCCACACCTTGTTCTTGTGTCGCCATGTGGATGACGTAAAAATGTACCATGCTTCTTTCCCGTGTGGTAATCTTTTTGCTGTCCTTACTACATACTTTTGTAACGTTTTGGACCCTTTACAGAGAAACTGAAGGCTGTGCCGGACCTCGACAGTAAGCGTCTCGTATAGGCAAAGTTTAAGCAGTCTATGTATCTGGCGTTTTGCCGCCAGGATTGGGCTTCCCCCATTTGAGCCCCTTCTGAGGTTAACCCTTTTCGCCACCACCACCCCCTTTTGGATAGCCCACCACAACAGGAAGGAAATATTCATCGACCGGAACGGTTCGCATTGCACGATGGGAATAGCGACAATGTGTATCTCTACAGCATTGTCGCGGTTCCCCAATTAGCACCTTTACGTTTATTGCTAGGTCTTCTTGTTAAGTGAACCCATGTGCGCTCTTAGAAGTGGAATTGCATGTCTGCCTTTGATGGCATGGTTCCATGGGAGAAGTGTGCATTTTTCAATGCCTCTACGTCGCTCCCTTCCGCTACGCCCCCGTGTAGGAAGCAGATTCGAGTATATTTTGGACTTCCTGCGAGACGGAGTGCTGATATGCGAAAATGACATCAACGTATTGACGAGGATACTAATCGAAGCTGTGTACTTCAAATTGTTTTCCCTCATAAAAATTTTAAAAAAGAAAATCGAATTATTGTATTCAAATATGGGGAGTAATGTGAACAAAAATATTTTCAAAAGCATCATTGGAACACTTGAAGAAAAAAAAAAAAAAAAAATAAAAAGCAAAGAAAAAAATAAAAGCATATCGATGAAGTTAAACAAATTCCCTGCCCACATTAAGAAGCACAACGAAATGGAATGTTGCACTGTTAAAAAAAAAAAAAAAATTCAGAACGTCCATTTTTTGAACAAGATAAATTTATTAAGTGAATTGAATGACGAAAATGAGTCTTCCACGAAGGAGGAGGTTAACCTCAAGGGATACACACTCTTGTCTAGTGCTCCACTGGACAGTTACAAAGAGGGAAAACAAATTGTGTCTGCTAAGGACCAGGAGGACAAACTAAAAAATGACGAACATTTTGAATGTAATAATGACCTGGAACTGAACTCGCGGGATAATTTACCAAAAAATATTCCCCCGAATACGTATACTCCCCCAACACACACCAAAACGGTTGATTACAATTTAACGAATAATTTCATAAATGAGGAAGACAAACTGAAGAGTAAAAATAATGCCAATTGTTCCACTCGGATAAATTGTTTAGTGAAAAATATCGAACAGAAGGGATACCCCCCCAACCCTCTGTCACTCAATGGGCATTTAAAAAATGGCGACAGCAGAGCGGTTTCCTTCTCGGAGAGCACCAGCATTTTTATCTACGGAAAAAAAGGTTATCCACGTTGTGTACTCAGCGTGTTATGGCTTCTTTGCAATGCACAACAAATCCCATGGTAACAGCTCTTATTTTTCCCCCCCATTTGTTATCTCATTACGTGTTTTCTTCTTCCTCCCCCTCTTCACATACAGGTGAGGAAGTCCACAACGGGGCCAACGATGCCATGGACACCTCCACAGAGAGCCTAAACAATAGCTTTCCCCCGAGCAACATCGGAGGTGTGAACTATTCAGGCTACTCCAGCTTGGCGAACTATGCCACCTGCGCGAATTACGCCAACACTAGGAGCGATACGGATACGGCAAGCTACAAATATAATAATTATACGTATAACAATGTGAATAACCATAGGGAGAAAATTTTAGTTTACTCCGAAATTGACGACATCGAAGAAACGTCCCCCTTCCCAATACTGTCTAATGTCAATTTGGGGGAGCAGATATTCAGCACGACGGTGGATTTTTAGTGTCCCGTTCGGCCAGTTTGTTTGTGCGCGTTGTATGTACATGGCGATGTTGTACGCACGCGGCGATGTTGTGCCTACGTGGCGATGTTGTATGTGCGCGGTGATGTTATGCGTACTTGGCGATGTTGTATGTACATGGCGCGAAACGCACTCCCTCTCTCCTCGCCAGAAAATGTTTTGTCACCTTTTTAATCCATTTTTTGTATTTTTAATTTTTTTTTTTGAAAAAATGCATGAAATGTTGTCAGTTGTGCCATTCTAGTTGTAATTGTTCCGTGCCCTTACGCTTTGCGTTCACCGGGATGATGTGCACATGTCCACGGAGGTGTGCTGTGTCCACGCAGGGGTGCCTAATCTTGCTGATAGAATGAGAAGCTTTTAAAAACTGCGAAGAAGTAATCTCTTAACGTACGGTTCGGGCGTGTGGAACAGTCCAAATCTGTAGAAGATGTCACAGGGCTCCATTTTTAGGGGCGAATCCCAAATGCGAGAAAAAAGGTGCCCAGTTGGACATGAAACAGGGGTTGCACATTTGGTGTACCGTGTTAGGGTGGATTACTCCTTTTTACATCTCCAAAAGGTTACCGCTCAGGTATAGGAGTCGGATGAGTCATATTGTCCACTCGTCTATACCCCGATGCAGTGCCATACAGTGCCATGCACTTCTACACTCGTTTTATATCCCCATTCGGCTACAATTACGCAGATGGAAGGAAGAATGACGTGAGCCCCGAACACAACGCTGATACATCAACGTCGAGCCATTCCCATATGTGCGCATGAATGTAGAATAGGAAAAAGGACGGAAGACGTACAGTTGGTCATTTCGCCTTCCCGTTATAGTAACTGTAATTACCACTTAGCGCACGACACCCCAGGGACACTTCACTCGAGGAGTCTTCACCCGTGTGGGGATATACTCCAAACTAGGAAACAATCGTAACAGCTGTTAAAGTACGGAAGAAAAGAAAGGACTGTTGTGTACATACGTACGATTGTGATTCAGAATGGGGTTCCACGTCCGAAAGGAAAAAAGGAACAGAGAGAAAAGGATTGCGCACTGTCGGAGGGTTTCGTTCACGTGATACATTACTGCATCTTATAAGTTAAATAACCACCCGGATTGGTAACATATTCCTTTTTGTCTACCCACATTTGTGCACACATACGGGTTACCCCTCCAACATGAGCATAGTAAAATGCCCTTTCCCTATCCCTTTGCATTTTCTCTTTCACCACGTGGGGCACTAATAATATCTTTGGGGGAAGGGGGGGTACTCCGCATCCACATGGGCACTTATCATTTTACCTCCTCCGTTTTTTCCTACTTTTGGCTTTATGTACGTGAAACTCTGGGGCGCACACAGAAAGGCGCGCATATAGTGTGGCAGATTCTCCAACCGAGCTGTACCTGCCGCCACCCGAATATGAATGCATAACGGAAATGAGAAAAAGTTAAGAATAGCTTTAAGGATTGCTCTAAAATGAGTCAATGGTGGAAGAACCGCATTGCCGTGAATGCTTCAGTTTATTCTTACTTCTTTTTTTTCTTTTTTTTCATGTTTTTTAATTTCAAATAGGAACACTGCATTGCGTTGGCATGGCGAAAAGAGTATCAAGCAAAACCAAAGCGTTTTCACTTTTTGCCTGTGATTAGTTCAATATGTTACTTCTTCTTTTTTTTTACCATTTGGTCTTTCTCTGGGAAGTTCACTCTTGGCTTTTCTCCTCCTATCAATTCGTGATGCGCCCGGCACTTCGCCGCTTGCTAGTACTGCTGCAAATGTTTCTTATCTCGCCCATGTAATCTGTATGGTCTAGCACACAGGGGTATTTGATGAGATTCTAAAAAGGGCAAAATGTATGCGAGTTGAAGAGGCTCAAATTCTGTGGGTGCTTTGTCCAACCTCTCTGTGTGCCCCTCTTTTCCTACCCCCTTTACGCATACGTACACGCGAGCGTAGGTACTTCCAGCAAAGATTTAAAACGCGCAATGGCAATTGGAAGGAGAAAAAAAATAAACGGACGCAATCTAAACCTGCATGTAAAGCTGCGGAAAACTCCCAATACCTAAACGCATATGTACACAAAAGGTATATGTTTAAAGTGTCAAGTCTCTTTTTAGGGTTGCGACACGCATTACCTCTACTGCAACACGTTTTTTTGAAATGTAAAATGGGCACTTGACACCGGGAAGGAATTTGATTATTTTTTCCACGATATTCTTTTTGCAGATTTTTTGCTGTTTCTTGCGTTTTTTTTTCTTTTTTTTGCCTATTCTTTTGCCTATTTTTTTGCCCTTTTGTTGCCTTTTTTTTAACTTTTATTTTTCTTATCCCGTAAATAAATGCTCAACAGAATAACGAATCAAGTGATGCAATGCGCATTGAATGAAAACACCACCAAAAAGGGGATAATGATAACCTGGGGCTGATAACATGGCGATGATAACACGTAGCGATAATAATCTAGCGATAACAGCGTAGTGCTAACGTTCAGGCTTCGCGTTTTCTTTTACTCACCCTTTCGCTTTTCCATCCTCCCCACTTTATTTATTTTTTTTAACGTTATAGCACCAACTTTGTTACGACTGCAGGGCCACGCATATGTGTGAGAAAGTCCAGTCGGCTGTACACAGGAGCACTGGTGCGTACAAAGGTACGCATACGTATAAGCGGCGTGTGCAACCCGAGGAAGAGCCCCACCCCGCGTACCCCTTTTTTGAAACGGCAAAGTCGAACGGCCTACTAAAACGGTCAAGTTCGTCCCCCCCTCCCATTTGTGCCCGTAAGCACAGTTTACCCATTTCTTGACGGTGTCAATTTTGATGCACAAATTGTGAAGATATTTTAAGGAGTGACGAGAAAAATATAAAAATCGGAAACACAAGACCATCAGCGCTATTTAGTCATTTTGTTTCTCCACACTGCAGTTTGAATCTCTGCATATGCTTCTGTGGGCAAACACAGGGGAGGATAAGCCGATTTGTAATTGCCCTTGTTACGTGAGCTTCTCTTACGTGCGCCTCTCCTACGTGGGCTTCTCTTACGTGAGATTTCATCACGTTGCGCGTCCGCTCGTCCTTGAACACTCCTCGGCGTTAAAGCGGCCAAATTGTATCTGAGGAAGATTATTCAGAAGCCGGGCGCTGTTAACTTAGATCCGTTTGTTAATTGTGCCAAGCGAGAAATCCCCCCTGCCCCCTCGCATAGGCCTCCTTTTTTTAGTTGCAGACGCTAGTATAGTTTTAGTAATAGTTTAGCAGTTGTAGTAGCCCTTTATCGGTTCATAATCTGTGCAGACCGAGCGTTACTTATTTGTGGTGGCCCCTTTCCCTTGTGCCTATTGAGAGAAGCCTCTCTTCACATTGTCCCTCTGTTTCTCCGTTAGTGAGGGAAAAAGTCTCCGCATGGTTCAGCTTTTCTAAAGGACACACCGCTGGCAGAGCACGAACAGTGTGGAGGCGTAATCGCGAAGCCGAGAAACCGCATAACGGAATAACCACATAACGGAATAACCACATAACGGCGTGACAGATTAAGCGCGCCCCGCACACGAATGCAACAAGATGGACGTGACAGATTTCAAACGTAAGGTGTACAATTTTTTGGAAAACGAAAGTGAGTACTCCATGAAAAATGACGATGGGGAGGACAGCGATGACGCGAGCCAAATAGCATATTTTGACGAAGTAAAAGGGACGGCAAAAGAAAACTCCAGTAATATCTTCCGGCCTAAGAAGTATGAATTGTGTCAGAGCTTGGAAAAAACGAAAGGACTTCTGGGCATAGAAATGTCCAACAAGTATGATGCGTTTTGTTTTTTCTGTAAATATCACTATAATAAGGATTTTTTAGGAGAAAGGAAAAAGGAAGTAAGGGGCAATGAAACAATTCTTGGAGAGTATTCATTCAAAACGTATGGTGAAATAAAAAATGAAATAGAGATCCTAGCATCTGCATTGTACCAGTTTGAGAATATAGAGCCCAACATATTCACAGATAATGGACCATATGATAAATTAAAAATTTTAGGTATCTGGTCAAGAAATAGAGTAGAATGGTTAACTACCGACTATGCTTGCTCAGCCATAGACTTTGTCACCGTCCCGATATACGACACTATGGGGATAAACTCGGTGAAGTACATATTTCAGAAGACTCAGATGAAAATCTGTTGCATCGAAGCGGAGAAGTTGGAGTGCCTCATAAAATTGAAGGACGAACTAAACGATCTACAAATTTTAATTATTTACGATGAATGGAGCTTAAGAGACGACATTAAGCAGCGAGCCAGTAAGGCAGGCTACAAGGTATATTTCTATAAAGACCTAATTGACAAATTTAAGAACCAAAATATTATCCCCCAGTATGAGTATTATGACCACGCGTTTCATAGTCAGGAGAAAGGTCAGAAGGGCGTCAAAAAAGAGCCCCACTCGAGGAGCGGCGCTGGAGGTAACCGCAATAGTAGCAATAATGGAAGTGGGTGCAACGCGCTGATGCAGAAGCTGAAAAAGAATAGAGGCAAAGTGACTGATGTGTGCACCATCATTTTTACCTCCGGATCGTCCGGCATGCCCAAAGGCGCCATGTTGACACACAACACGTTTCTTACCTTTGTGCAAAGCTACATCATCGACGGAAACAGACTCGGCCTGATGAAATATGACGTGTTGCTTAGCTACCTCCCTCTAGCCCACATCTACGAACGGATAATCGAATGTGCTGTGTCTTTTTTTGGAGCCAAAATAGGCTATTTCTCTGGAAACATAAAAGAGTTAGTCAGTGACATAAACGAGTTAAAACCAACCTTCTTTATCACCGTCCCAAGAATTTTACAAAAAATCCATGACAATATTATGGAAGGATTGAAGAACAAATCCTTTATAGCCAGAACGTTGGTAAAGACAGCCCTCAAGAATAAGAAGAGCATATATTTGAAAAATCCGAAAAAGTTTTCCCACCCAATTTATGACATCATTTTACAACCACTGAGGAACCGATTCGGAGGCCGCATAAGGACGCAAGTCATGGGTTCTGCATCTATGGATAAAGATAAACTAATCGATTTGCAAATGCTCTTTTCAGCACCTATTTCGGAAGGATGGGGAATGACAGAAGTAGGCGTAGGATTCTTACAACACAGATATGATAGCACCAAAGGAACCATCGGAGGAATGTTTTCCAATGTTTCCATGAAAGTCGTTAAGGTGGAAAATATGAAATATGACCCAAAGGCTTACCCAAACAGAGGAGAATTATGCGTCAAGGGAAGTAGCCTAATGGTAGGCTACTTCCGAGATCAGCCGTTAACAAAAAAGTCTTTTGATGAAGATGGCTTCTTCTACACAGGAGATGTCGTTGAAGTGAATGAAAATAATGCATACGTACGAATCATAGACAGAGCAAAAAACATATTCAAATTAGCTCAAGGGGAGTATGTCGAGCCAGAGAAGTTGGAAAATATCTACACCAATAGCATATACATAGAGAACATTATTGTGCATGGATACAGTTACGAAAATGAATTAGTATCCATCATAGTTCCGAATGAAATTTTCATTCGTGATTATGCCAAGAAGAACAACCTCAATATGCCCTTCGAGGAGCTGCTAAAGTGTGATGCTATTAAAAAGCTTTTTCAGAATGAAATATTGACTATTTCAAAAACGTATAATTTGAATGGCATTGAGAAGATCCACTTATTTCACTTGACGCCTATTCCATTTTCTGTGGATAATAAGCAGCTCACCCCTACGCATAAGGTCGTTAGGAACGCCATCATCGCTGATTATAAAAAGGTCATTGACGATTTGTACGAGTCCAGGAAGAAGTAAGCTCTTTTGTTTACGCAGCGGATTTTGCCCCCCTTCGCACGGTCCATCTTGTGCGGTTATGGTGTGCACTACGCCATCATCGCTACGCTAATGCGCCACGTTCCATTTTGTGGCCCCTTGTTAACCTATTTGCTGTGCGATGAAAAAGACCACACTTTCCCGCTGTGTCCCCGGAAGGGTTGAATCTATGCTTCCCCTTCTCGTCGTGCGCATTGTAATGCACAAATAAGCAGAGGGGAGGGGAAAGTACAACAAAACGGACACCTTGTCGATGGGTTAGCCTGCAGTTGAGAACCCCCTACCCCGAAGTTTTCCTCTCGAGTGATAATAATGCAATTCTCTTTTTTTAAATATGTAATGACGTATCTAAGAAAATTCAATTTTGTGACAAAGTAAAGCACCTTGTAGGGAAATTTATTACTTCCCAATTTGTGTATTCGTGCATGTGCGGTATATGCAAAATGTCCACACATGTATGCACAGATGTACATACGTACGCATATCTGCAGACGCTCGTATAAACGTGTTTTTGTGCAGGCCTCCCCCCCAAGCTTCTCCTCCTTGTCATTTATTCGTTAAATGCCCTATGCACATGAATAATACACATTGGCATGGATTCTTGTTGTGAAACTTATTATCATCATATGTTTTACTAGTATGTCGGTACAGGCATATTTACAGCATTAAATTGCACTGAGTAAAAACTTCCTTGTAATGCAACCCCCCCTCGTATGGTACAAACATAATATATATATGTGTGCGTCTGCCTGTGGGCATTTCAAAAAAAAGTGACGCGTCGAATCTCCCCCCTGGGACGGGGTAAGTTTTTTGCCGTACTGTTCATACGAACCGCATGCATTACCCCCGTTGTCGTGTCGTGGTTGTTGCCTGCACAGCTATATTAGCCTGGCGCTTAACAATCTCCCACCCCTACGCCCTCGTCAAAATAATAAACGGCTACGCAGCCGCGTCCTCCCTCATGGTCACTTAAAATAGGTTTACCAACCTTCGCAACATCCTCGCAACAATGTAAATTTTGAAGACAATGCGCCGAATGGTTATGCAAAAAAAATCTTCCCCCCCGAGGGGTGTTCCTACATTGCAAATTTACACCCACTGGTAAAAATTTACTCAAAAGTGATCTCAAAACGGTGATGCCTTTACGAAGGCAACATTGATCGCAAAAGGAAGGATTAGGAACTGCCTTCCCATTTAGTTTCATCACCAGGAGGGAATCTACTTCGCGGAAAATTTGAAGCGACAGAACAGCTTGGCTTTTCACATATCTATGCTTGAGGGGTGTTCCCACTGTCCCACAATTTTGAAACAGAGTAACATTTGAACTAGCCAATGAATAACTGGAAATTGCAAAGTGAAAAAAAAAAAAAAAGAACAAAAAAGAAAAAAAAATGAAACAAATGTTAAGGTATACAACGTCAAGTTCGAATTAAATGTTGGGTGGGTTTTCCTCTCCTTTTCTCTATTTTAATTAAAGCGACATTAAATAGAAAAAAGAAAAAAAGGAACGGAGCGGGGGGGTTACACAGATTGACAGCATGCATAGTAGGACATAACACTGTGACATATACAAACGCGTGTAATCATACACAAAATAGGGATAAGACGCAAATTAATTCTTCCCAAAATGTAGCAAAAAGCAAGGGGGGAATATTTGCTTGATCTTTCCCTGTTTTTCGTCTTGCGTTATTTTCTTTTTTAATTTGTTACTGTGCTTTTTTTTTTTTTCTTCTTCTTTTTTTTTTCAAACATTCTACCCAAATAGTGGGTGGGGGGAGGCATTTTCAAAAAACGCCCTCGTTTCAAATTTGACAAATCGGATATAATGACTGCGTCGATCATTTTAATTATACACATAAACAGATGACGAAACAAACGTAGAGACAGAAATAAAACTGAAAAAAAACAAAAAAAAACAAGGAAGAAAAATGGGGCAACGCGAAGGGTGAAATCAAACGATACCGTCGCGGGCTGCGCGGGCTTCATCCTCCAGCTTGGAGTTTATAGTTCCTTCTTCTTGAAAATGCCCCTATTGAACAAAGACACAAGGTGACAACGCGCCGAATTTTTCCTCGTTGCCACTTCGGTGCATGCATGATATGAACGTACGCGCGTGTGTGTCCAGATCTAAGATGGCTTTTTTTCTTCCTCCCTTAGACAGGTGAAGCGGCAACGCCTCACAGACAGGCAAGCTTCCTCTTCCCTGCCGAGCTCACTCTCGGGTCGCATCAAATGTAAACGTAGAAACATGAAATCATACAAACATGCAGACATACAAACATGCAGACATACAAACATGCAGACATACAAACATGCAAACACACAAACATGAAAACATACCCAGACAGACACACAAATACCTAGTAGGTAGATATACTTCGCAACAAACTTACACAAATAGAATACACGCATTTGCAAACAAATCAGGACGCGCCACGCCACTTGGTGAACTAAACTCTAATTTGGACACACTTGGTTTACTTCAGCCGAGTTAGCATCATTGGCCTTAACGAACATGTGGAAATTACCAAATGGGGAAGACAAATCGGCTTCTCTCTATTTTAGTGCACTCCTGGGGACACATATCATGCGAGACGCGCAAAGAAAAAGATATCATTACTCTTGCATCTGTAAGTGTGAAGAGAAGGTAGGGAAAAATGAATAAACATAATATACACATATGTATGCACAAAATAGGATGGCCATGTTACACGACGTACTTTCTGTGCCACCTAAGGGCCGCGTGTACCCCGCTACGACATTGTACAAATGCGCGCATACGAGGGGCTCGTCCTTTGTCATTTTCTCTCTTTTTCATGTTCTCTATTTTGGTTTCTCTTCATCTCTCCCTTCTTACCTTCGCTGCAACTTCTGCGCCCGAGGAACCCCATCGCCGATGAGAAAAATCGGACGGAAAAACAAATGTACGGGAGCGAACAGGGGACGCAACAAATGCAGAATGGAAATGAAAACGCAAACAAAAACGGGCAGGAAGAAACAAATGGATTGACAAATGGATTGACAAATGGATGGACAAAGGGATGGACGAATAGATGGACAAATGAAAGGACAAATAGATGGCCAAATATATGGACAAAGACATGTGCAATACGCGCACGATGCGTAAACGAACTGGCGTGCCGACCGAGTCGGGACTGAGAGAGGGACGCGAAGGAGGTCTCGCTAGAACCCATCTTCTACACACACATGGGAAGGACAAATGGGAAGCACACGCAACTGCCTCGCTACGCGCCGCCTCACATAGCCTTCACATGGCTTCACACCGCCGTTAGCTCAAATCCACTCTTTGCTCTTCTTCTTAAACTGGTTGTACGATAACAGGGAGGAAGAGCGGTTGGGCGGGGGGCACACTCCGTGCAGAACCACCGTTTCATACTCATTCGAGTTCGTCATATACGCGTCGTAGTCCTTCCTATTTAGTGTAATGGAGTCAATGCTGCTCTTATCCTTGATCAAGTTTTCAGAATATTTATCATCAATTTTCAGCATGGTATCGAAATAGTTTTTATAATCATTGAAATTATGTTTGCTGCTTTTTCTGCCCTCGGTGTCTGCTTTGTTCTTCTCCTCGCCATTTTCAGTAATGTTGTAGTGTTTACATTTCTTGCGCATTTCTTGTTCTGTCAATTTTTGGATAAGATTCTCTTTATTCTTCAGTTCGTTTATATTCGCATTCATATGCATGTCCGTAATTTTTGGGAGAAACCAGGGGTGTCCTAACGCTTGGATTGCTGTACATCTATCGTCCGGACTCTTACTGCACATCCAGAGAATAATTTCTTTGACATTTTCAGATTTGGTTAACCAATGCTTTGTGTTAAAGCTGATGTGACACCTCATATTTTTTTTAAAAATCTCCTTTACGTTATTGCCTCTGAAGGGGGGATAGCCACAAAGTATGTTGAAGAGAATAACCCCTAAGCTGAAGATGTCTACTTTTGTGCCATACGTGGAGTACCTTAAAATTTCAGGTGCAACGTATCCGGGGGAACCACACCTCATATTCATAGAGGGGCTATTCAAAAAAGAGGCTAATCCAAAATCGATTATTTTTAATGAGCTAGGATCATTCACATTTTCCAGCATTAAGTTTTCCATTTTTAGATCCCTATGTACTACTCCGTTAGAGTGTAAGGCCTCCAAGGCTATTAAAATTCGTTTAATAGCTTTTCTGGCTACCTGTTCTGTGTACGGGCCATTGTTATTAAGGTATTCAAAGAGTTCCCCTCCTTTTAAATATTCCAACACTAAGTACACGAACCCTTCTTGTTCGTATGCCGATATTAACTTTATTATATACTTATGCATGACCTTTCGGAGCACCTCAATTTCGGTGTACACATTTGATTCTTTCACTTTCGATTTGTCTACTTCTTTCACCACTACTCTATTTCCATACAGGATGTTGGTACCGATGTATGCTGTGGAAAAGCTCCCCTTTCCTATTTTTTTATTCAAGACATATACATTTTTAAAACCTAAGATGGGGAAGCCAAGCATGTTAAAGAATTGACTCATTTCACTAAACTCCTCCTTACTTCGACACTGAAATTGGTATTCCTCATTTGCAGTAATTATATGAATACATGGTCCTATCTCCGTTATGTTGTTGATTATTCTGCACCCTTTCAAAGGCACTGTAAATTCCGGGTTCTCCTGATACATATACGTCCAGCATAGCAAATATGGGTTCTTCTTTTCATCATACGTTAGGGACACATGAGAAGCTGCACCAGTCGCCAGAGGGAAGTCTATCCGTTTTCCTTTAAAGAGCTGATGGTATCTCTTTTCCATGTTGTGTGAGGTACTGGAGACTTGTTTTTTTTTCTGCGATTTGGGGCTATCTTCAGTAGGGGTAAATATATTGGCAATTTTTTCTCTTTTTTTTGTCTTTCTACGCACTATGGTTTGCCATATAATGATAATGCATTATAAACCTGAATTGTTACAAAACAAAATT